GGAGTCTGCCCACAGCCAAAAAGCTTGCCTGGGGCTAAGTTGAAAAGCAATGGACTTATTTCTCTCACAGAAGAAATTTCAAGACAGCCTAACTTGGAAATGGTGGCATGGCTATTAATGATGAATATTATGCAGGTCTACAGTGAAAAAGCAAATGGAGCAGAAAGAAATGCAGAATGTATAGTTTGGATTGAAAAAGAGCACTAGGAAGATTAATTGTAGAGCCTAGGCATGTGCTGAAGAACAGGATCCCTTTGATAAAAGAGATTTAGAGTGATTAAGGAGAGGCCCAGAGATTTGTACTTAAACAGTGAAGAGAGTGCCTCCAGGGCAAGACCACACCCAACTAAGCTTCCAACTTGTGAAAGAAAAATGCTGCAAAGGCCACTCAAGATAAAAGCTTCTAAAATGGATAAAAGCAGGCTGGGGTCCAACCTAGACTTGCTGCCTAACTTGGCAGTGTCCTTCACTTGGTGCTGGCTTTAGAGGCATGTAAAATGCAAGAGTGAAGGGGTCATTGGTTCTTCCTCTGTGGTTTCAGAGAGCCAAGGACAGGCAGCATGCAACAGGGGTGACCCTGTATAAAAAAGGCCCTGATAGATCATTGTGTAAAGGTGAAGCCTGATGGGCAATGGAGACCCCCCCAAGAAGACATTCATGATGCCAGAGATGTGAGGCATCAGCCAAGAACACCTGCATACAGGGAGTGGTACCAGCCCAAGAGAGAGATGTATGTTGCATGCAGCAAAGCTGAAGAGGCTGAGCTATCTAAGCCCTTTGGAAGTAAAGTCCCAGAAGTTGAACATGGAGCTACTGGATTTGATGTTTGTCCTCCTGGTTTTCGGTCTTATTTTGGTCCAGTATTTCCTCACTATGCCTCTTTTCCTCCCTTTTGGAATAGTATATGTATTCAATTCCACTGTATGTTGGGAGTATGTAATTTGTCTTTTAAGTTTGCAGGGGCATACAATTAAGTGATTTCCCTGAGACTCAGAAGAGACTTTGGATTGTGGACTTTTGAATAATATTGAGACTGTTAATGACTGCAGGGACTTTTAAGGTTGAACTAAATGCATTTACCATTTTATATGGTCATGAGCCTGTGGGGGGAGCCAGGGAGTGGAATGTGAAGATTTGAATGATAATGTCCGCCATAGGCTCCAAATATTTGGACATTTTGTCCCCCGTTGGTGACACTATTTTGGGAGGTCCTAGAAGGTATGGCCATGTTGGAGAAAGTATGTCATTGGGGGAGTTCTTAAGCCTTGCTGGATCTCAAGTTGCTCTCTTGCTTCCTGTGCCTGCTTGAAGATGTAAGAGAGCTTAGCTTCTGCTCCTCCTCCAGCCACCTCTGCTGCCATGCCTCCCCACCATGATGGACTGACTCTTGACCATTTGGAACATAAGCTAAATAAACTCTTCCTTCTATAAGCTGCTTTGGTCAGTGTTTCTACCGCAGCATCAGAAAAGAGACTAATACAACAATCATATTCCCAACTCCTTTTCTCTTTGTCTTTCTCCTCTGTCTCCACTATTTTTATTTTGACCATTCTATATCTTCTCTGATTGACATTAGCTTATTTATTCGCTTATTGTTTGTTATTCAACAGGTACTTATGCATACCTGGGTGTGCTATGTTATGACATGAAATTTTAAATATAAATTTATATGGTCATGGTCCTTATGAACTTCACTATACATTTAGAGATTAAAAACAGGCTATCTACAGTTAGTTAAATGTCTGTTTCTTAATTTCCATGCAATCTTATAGAAAGGATGTTTGCCAACCAAAAAGAAGTAAAACAGTTTTATCCATTTGTTGATGGCTTTACATAGTTTCCTAATTGGTGTTTTATAATAGAATGTATACATTATCCTTTATAAAAATCTTATTAATAATTATGCCAATATTTTAGATGTCTTTTATAAACATGATTTTTTATAATCCTCACAAAAAACTTATGAAGAAAGGAAGGCATGAAGTTGTCATTTGTTTAGTCATTCAAACACTGTGTGATGATAATGAGGATTTAAATCCAAGTCTGTTATGTCCTAGAATCTTAACCATGGTCTCATGTTTACTGATTTCCATCACTAGTGAAATTAACCAAAAGTTGAATATTTGAGATTTCTGTTTGTCCCTTTTTTTTTTCAAAGCCATCTCATATTTCTATTCTATCTAAAAATGCTAAGAAAACTTATTTTTTAAAGTTAATGAATATAGGGCTGGAGAGAGTGGTTAAGAGCACTGATTGCTCTTTCAGAGGACCCAGGATTGGTTCCCAGCACCCACATGGCAGCTAACAACCATCTGTAACTCCATTTCCAGGGGATCTGACATCATCTTCTGACCTCCATGAACACTACACAACATGGGTGCACTTACATACATCCAGGCAATATACTCATACACATAAAATAAAAAATAGTAAAATCTTTTTTTAAAAAAAAGTTAAAAAATATATATAACCACCTGCACAAAGTTACAGTTTAGTTGTTTATTGGTTTTGTCTATGAAAGACATTATGAATTTTTAATTACTGGGAAATATATACTATCAAATGAAAAATTATGAAAGGATTAGTTGCATTTTTATATTATTGTAATTTTAAAAAGAATTTATTGTTCATTTTCTATATATGTGTGTGTCTGGTGGGGGGAATGTGCACATGAGTACAGGTGCCTATGGAAGCCAGAGTCATTCGATACCCCGGGAGCTGGAATTACAGGTGGTTTTGAACCACCTAATATGGTTATTGGGAATTGAGCTCAGATTTTCTGGAAGGGCAACAAGTGCTCTTAACTGTTGAGCCATCTCTCCAGCACAGCTGTAATTTCTGTATTGTTTGTGTGCATGATGTGTGGAGGTTCACATGCGTGTGGAGGTTTGAGGACAATTTGTGGAGTTGGTTCTCTACTTCCACTTAGGAAGTGCCTTTACTGGCTAAGCCATCAGCAAACATATTTTCTTTCTTAAAAGTTTTGTTTTCATTTTTGCTTTGTTTTTAAAGTAAGATGAAAAGACAGAAGCATGATTCCTGACAAAGAATATTACATATTTTTTAATTACAGTATTTACTCAAGCATCTCAGTCAAGCTTCTATTCCATCCTGCATTTATTCAAACATTTTTCTTTTATTACATTATTTACATAGTTTAATATTTTAATAAACACAAAACATCATAGTTCCCATGCTGACTTTTCCCCTCTAGATTATATAAAAAGACAGAAAACATGGAATAATTTTAAAAGTCTCTTGTCTGTAACTTAAGAGTTTCATTTTGTGGAACATAGACTTACTAGTTTTTCAAACAATTGCAGTTGGAAGTCAAGAACCAAAGTCTTTCATCTGATTAACATTAAGCAGATCACTTAGCTTTTCTGTGCTTCTGTTCTCATGTGATACTGCCTGCAAGTCCTTGAAATGTCCAGCCAGAAGACTGGTGCTGGGGTTGGGATTGTAGTCTTCTGACAAAGAAGAATTAAAAATGTTCTAAGTGCAGAGATCTATAAATGGGAAGGTATTATGATAGTCATAAAGTAAATAAGCTAATGATAATAACATATTTGAGGCAGTATCTATTATTAATTTCATTCTGGTATTAAAATATGCTTTTCAAATACTTCAGTGTTTTGATTTCTAAATCATTATTATAAACTATATTTTCATCATTGTTACCTTGATCTTTTAGTAAAAACTTGTGCTTATTAACATTTCTCACACAGAAAAGAGCCAATATAGGTTCTGCTTTTTTTCATGGTTAAGTAATTAATGCATATAATAAAACAATATATCATCATCTTATTCTTTTAAAGGTTATTCAAACTTTTTTTGCTTTTTTTTTCTTTTTAACTTGTCTTTATAATGTTGCTATGATATTTTAGAGAAAATAGCCATCATTAAAAATAATTATCTTCTTGCTATTTATAAAATTTTTTGCCATTTTCTTTTAGTGACAATTTTTTGAGGCTTCTTCCCACATCTATTCTCCCAATGTATACCTCTTGCTAATAATATTTCCTTATTATTATTTTCCTTAATTCTTTAAATTTATATGTATATGTATGTGGAGGCTAGAAGGCATCAGATCCCTTAGAACTGGAGTTAGGGATGGTTGTGTGGGTGGGCGGGTTTTTAACCTGATACAGTCTTAAATTTCTTTGAACGTGCCTACTGCTTTGTTACTATCATTTCACCAGGTAGAAAAGTATCTATTATTTACATGGTGAAACCTTTTCCTGTAAATAGAATGCCAGAGTAATTCTAATATTTACTGGGACTTTTTTCTCTTTCTTTTATTTATTATTTTTACTTTATGTGCATATATATGAGTGCACCCATGTCATGCAATGCTGTGGAGGCCAGAAGAGGGCTTCAGATTCTCATGGAACTGGAGTTAAGGACATTTTGTAGCCGCCATGTGGGTGCTGGGAATTGAACCTGGGTCCTCTGCAAAAGCACTCAGTGCTCTTAACTGCTGAGCTATCTCTCCAGTCCCCATATTTACTCTTTTAAAATATGGCACATTTCACCATTTCTATAGCATAAAAACCTCTAAACTGTTTACCTTGGCTCAAAAGACTTTATTGACTTGTCAGTCTTCATTAATAATCCAGACCGACCTGTCAATATTTGACATACCAAGTTTGGTTCTGTTTTAGCATATTTAACACAAGTTGTTTCTCCTACTTATAACATTTGTCCATTTAGCCCTTGGGTGAATGGATCCTGTTAGTCAGATCTGAGCTTTTAAAGTGTTAATTCCTACAAGAACTTTTCTCTAAAGTCTTTCTAGAACTCATTCTAATATGTATCCTTAAAGTATTATTTAACTACCTTTAGTGATATGACCATATGATGTACTTCTAAAAAATATGAACCCAGGATGACATGTGCATTGATATTTTGAAATACTAATGCTTTTCCCATCATCCCTGATACTGAAAGCTATATCTTTTAAAATTTTGATGAGAATACCATTAAAAAATTTGTTTCAGTTTCAGAATGTCTAAAGCATTTGGGAAGAGGAAGAAAAGCAACAGCACAGACATACCTTATAATCCACAAACAGGTAATAATTAATTGATAAAGGATCTGCTACTTAGAAAATGAGTGGCCTGAGGAAGGTTCTGTTGCTACTGTGCTATATGGAGTGGTTTGTGTTGCAACATGTATGAGTCCAAAGACAGCTATTTCCACAGTCAGTGCTAGATCTTAATGCCAATGTGTAAAAGGCCAGGTGAATCATCTTAAATTATTCAATACTAGCAAAGTATAAATATTCAGTGAGTAAACTTGTGATCATTACTCTTTGGTCACTGAGTGCCTTTATATTTTATTTATTTTTATTTTATGTAAATGAGTGTTTTGCCTGCATGTATGTAAGTGCACCACGTGCATGCAATGCCCACAGAGACCAGAAGAGGATGTCAGATCCTCTGGAAGTAGAGTTAAGGACAGTTAGTTGCCTGCTATGTGGGTGCTAGGAACTTAACCTGGGTCCTCTGTAAGAGCTACATGTGCTCTTAACCACTGAGCCATTGCTGCAGCTCCCTCATGAATGTCTTTAAAAGGTCGACATTATTTCTAGCATATGTTTAGTCACTTGACAATGTTGGGATCGCAGTTAAGAATTTAAATTCAGATTCTGCAACTCTTTAATGGGAGAAAAAAAAATTGGTGTTTGTTAAAGAAATGTTCATTTTCAAATTTCTAAAAGTACACAGCAAATATTGAAATAATATTTTTTAAAGTATTTGAAAGTTAAGAATCTATCTTTCTCAGAACTTTCTTCCTTGTGTTATTCCATATTAGATATTGACAAATATACAAAATAAAAATCTAAGTACTCAGTTAATGCTTAATAGCCAACCAACTCATATTTTATATTATTGGTTGCAGTGTTTAATCCCCTTTAATATATACACAATCTGTATTTAAGTAAAAATGTGCTTTTTATGTACATAAAATTAATTTGAAGCCTGCTTTTTTAGAGGGGAAGTGTTCTCTACCTATCTTCAATATATTTGGACAAAACATACTTTGGATGAAGAAGCTGTTTCAGTTGTTCAGTGTTTGAAATGTTAAATGTTAATTGGGATTCCTGAGCTACAAAGTCATCTTAAACCATTTTATGTTTTGTAAAAAGGAAAATTGAGATTCCCTTTTTTTTTTTCAATAAGAGAAAATAAAGCAAAACTAAGTGAACTATTGTTGAGTTTAAAAAGCAGTATTATCAATTTTTAATTACCAGTGCTCAAATCATTTAGCCTGGTATAATCAGTTTAACATTTCCATTTTTTCCATTTTCTTTCTTTCTTCCTTTAATTGAATTTTGACAATGTAAAAGTAAGTTGTAGGAGAACAGATAAGGAAATGGAAATGGCACAGACAAAAATATAAATATTTCATTTTCTTGTTAAGAATGCTGGCTTAAAGCTGGTGAACTGCCAAAGCTATGGAATTAGGCATGGTTGTTCTTCTTTACCTTTGAGCAACAGTTCTCAATTGAGAGTGATTGCCTCAGAGTACATTTGAAAATGTAAATATTTATGTCTGAATAGACCTGAGGGGGAGTCAAGGTATTGCTACTGGTATCCAGTGAGAGAGGTCAAGAATGCTGCTAAGCATCCTACGGTGTTCCACATAGCTTCCATCAAGAAAAGAATACCTAGACTGTAATGGCAGTAATATGAGGCTGAAACATCTTGCCTTAGGCATCTCTCACTTCAAAAATAGTAGAAACACCAGAAGATAATTTGGAAGGCCATCTGATTACTAAGTAAAATTGGAGTTAAAGCTGATTCCCTGGAGACAATTCATTTTGTGTCCCCCTCGTTCTCCTTTCTTTAGTAACCTCAGGACCTCAGATATCTTTGGTATCCTGTGAGAAAAGTAAAAGGATCATCAAAATCAATGAAATGCTCAATTTTTGTTATATTCTTTTGTTTTGACTTTTGTTTGGTTTGGGGTTTTGTGGTCACCGCCAGCAGCGGCCGCTCCTCCTTTCTCATGTGCACCGCTCCTTCGTTCTCACAGACTTCGAGGCTGCTCCTCCATTCACCCAGGGCTGAGGCTGCTCTTCCAACTACCCTGGACTGAGGCAGCTCTTCTGATCGCCTTGTGCTGCCTCCTGTCATCGCTGCTTCTGCCAGGTCCCAGTCCCCAGGGCTGGTGTGTCAGCAGAGCCCCATTCAGACACAGGTCTGCTTCATTGCAGGAAGGCACAAGCTTATATAGGGGTAGTGGTCCAATCACAGCACAGAAAGTAGGATACCTTATTAGCATAACAGGTTTAGTGTCCTATCACAGTACAGCAAGTAGCATACCTTATTAGCATAACAAACTTAGTGTCCTATTAGCATAACAGACTTAACGTCCTATCACAGAATAGCGGGTAGGATGCCTCAGCATACTGGGTTTCAGAGTACAGAGCCTGGGTTCATGGAAACCATGTGACCCTGACTGTTGCAATATCTAAGTGTTGCAATTTGGAATTCCAGGGGTGGTGATTAGGGAGTGGTGAGCTCTAGGCATCAGTCTTATGATCTGCTGATGGAAGCAAATATCACAAGGCATTTCTTGTGGCTCCAGCTGTGGGGCCGTTGCCTTGGGCCTGCTGTATGGCTGTCAATAAGATTTTAACCCAAGGCTCAAGCCTGTCTCCCACAGGTTTTTTTGTTTGTTTTGTTTTATGGGGAGGGTTGTTTTGTTTGGGGTTTTTTTTTTTTTTGGTTGTTTCATTTTGTTGAGAAAAGGTTTCATACTGAAACTAGTGGGGGACTGAACTTCACCATGTATCCCAGTCAGTCCTTGAACTCATGACAGTCCTTCCTGCCTCAGCCACCTGAGTGCTGGGATTGCAAATGTGAACCACCATAACCTGTTATGTTCTTTGTAATTGCAGAGCCAATGAATCTGAATCACTTGTTCAGATGTCTTGTTAATACAGTACTAGTAGCAGCCATTGTTTTGAAATTGGTAGTTTCAGTAAAAATTTCTCCAACACATATTAATAGTGTTTATATCTATTGAGGCATGCCATAAGAATATTAAGAAAAAAATCAAACTTTTAAGGATGCCAGTGTAAAAAAATAATGGAAGCCTAATTATTAATAATATGACTTGAATAGAGATAGAAATAATATTATATCTAAAATTGATACAAAATTACCTAAATGCCCAGCAGGGCCTATTTAAGTAATGATAATGCTTACATAAAAGAATATTATACACTTAATAAAAATGATTTTTGGTGAAAATAGGTCCTTCTATATTAAGTTAAAAATACGGTATAAAATGTATGTAGCTACTTTTAACTAAAAAAGCATTGAAAGCTACTAAAGATAACGTATCTAGTGTATAATATTGCTTAATCCATAATGGTGATCTTACTATGTTGTATTAAATAATATAGATATCAGTTCAGCTGCATATTTACTCAGTGCTTTCTGTGTTTAAAGCACTTTGCTAGATTCTAGAAATAAGCATGAAGCAGGTAGTTATTTCAGAGATGACAGACAAATAATCCCCAGCAAATTGGGTCAAGTAATAAAGGAGTCCTGTGGCAGTGGATAGATTATTATTAGTAAGCATAGACCAAGCTACTGTAGTCTATTAGCCCAGAAATCTTTATAATTTGTCATATAAGTAATTTTTCATTTCTTTATTGTCCAGATGCTAATGGACTGTCCCTCGTCCCCAGTCTGTGTTTTCAAATTGATATATTAGGGAAGGGGAACCTTGAAGAATTCTATCGGTTGTTTTTCACAACTAATCCTGTACATGGTTTTTAAATCTCTTTTATTCACATCTTCCTGACTAAAAATCACCCTTATTTTTCCCAACGAAGTGAAAGGTAGCCTGGGAAATAAAGTATGACAATTATCTACTTGGGGAACACTAAAAAGCTATGTATGGTCATTACCAAAGATTGAACATTTCAGAAAAGATTTCCTCAGAAATGATAGTATTCAAAATAAGTTATCAAAAATAAGTAGGTACAGAGACCAGGAAAGAGACCAGTTATTTCAAATAATAATAACCTAGCCCAGTGGCTGAAGGAAGAGGAATGCAACTCCTACTTCAACATTTAATGTGGGGACATGTCAGGCATGGGCACAGTCACCAAGGATATTATAAGCTGTGGTAAGATATTTAGATAAGATTTTGTAGCTAAAATTCCTTCTGGGAGGTATAGACAATGTCGTGTTGCCCCTCCCCTCCTTCCTTGATCCCTAAGACAAAGAGAGGCTTGTTTTCCTTAGACTACAATCTGGGAAACCAGTGAATTTATTGGGCTTACTTACAGAGCAATAGGTGAAAGTTTACTTATAGCAATGTGGGTGCTTCCCACCCCCCATTCCCACTCCCTGAAAGGCTTCACTGTAAAGTCTTCATCCGAGCATGGATGGTGACTTCCCCATAGCAGCCCAGTGGTGATAGTGCCTCCCCAGGGCTTCTTCAGCTCATATACTCTTAGCTCCTCCCCTTCTGCAACTAGACATCTACTGGTTGGTTGGGAGGCATGGCTGATTCTCCCTGCCCCTCCTTTCTTATGGATAGTAACAGTCAACAAGCTTTTCTGTGTTTGCATTTATAAAGATAATTGTAGCTGCAGTGAATATTGCAAATTAAAGGAGACCCAAGAGGTTAGAAGCCAGTGAAGGAGCGTTAACATAAGTCTAGTTGAGCAATGACCTCTGTAAACCGAAATTGAATCATTGAATAGAAAGATATATTGGAGAGATATTTAAGAGGTATAATTCTGGAAGTTAGTAGTCCTTTGGGTGAGAAAAATAAAGGGAATGGATAATGGCTGTGTGGAATGGTTTCAGAGTAGGATATGTTCAATTGCAGAGATACACAATGTCAGTGTTTATGTACAAACAAAGGTGTTGAACATGAGTCTAGAAATAAGAGATCTAAACTGAACATACTGATTCTGGATTTAGCAGGATATAGTAATTTTAGGCCTCCCGATTAGGTGGTGTGCACAGGAAGAGTACATACTATACAAAGGAAAGGGTCCTCTGGACAACAGTCTGGAGTTCTTTCACACTACTACAATAA